CCCCCGTTCCTTCCCCCTCCCCAGTCACTCTCCCCACCATTGTCCGTGTCCTTGGGTTGTAGAACTCAGGGCTCTGAACACGCTCCTGCTTCTCGCCCTGGGGACAGTTCCTTCCTTCCTTTCTCCCTCCCCCCCTTGTCTTACTCAGCTGCAAGGGTTTCCACCACGGGAGTTTTGTTGGTCTTCACCCTCCAGTTAAGGCTCTCCTTCGTAGGGGAGAGGTTGGCAGAGGTTGGCAGCGGCTACTCTTCCGCTGCCCCGGCCAGTAAGGACATGGAAGATGAATCTCCAGGTTCTCCACAAGCACTTGGCAGGTTTTGTTGAAGAAAAGCAAGTTGATGCGAACCCCTTCAGTGGGAGCTGCAGGGGCTTCACAGCAGCCATACCTGGTCTATGGGAGTCATTAGAAATTCTTAGCTGAGGAGTCGGAGCTCACAGCGTTCAGCGTTTTCCGCAGCAGTTAGCGAGCCCGTGGGCCCTGCTTCTCCCCGCAGGCCCTTGTTTTCCCCAGCAAGTCGGGTGGGTGGGCTGTTTCCCTGAGAACTCCATCCTCTCGTGGGTTCAAGAAGAGTCACCGATTTGAAGTCTGTCTCACATTTTGTTTGTAGAAAATGTGAGCAGAGTGCTCTTTGCAGCTCTCTACACCTCCAAGAAGAAAATGGAAACCTTGTTTTTTTCACATGATAACTCTTTGAGAACTGAAGTTGAACAGAAATCCACCTGAAGCCCCTAACTCCATGTTCTGGTGACGCACAAGGGCCCAGCCTCGAGCCTTCACTTAGCCTGAGTTACCTTCTGATGGGCCCTGTTACCAAATACAGTCACACTGGGGTTAGGAGTGCAAGATATGAAATATGGGGTACACGAAACACTCCAAAATGAGAAACCTTGCCACACAGAGATTCAGAATTGCCTCCGTTTCCTCACTGATAACGGGGAAATTGCAACGCTTGCTGCAGTGGGTAATTATGGTTAAATGAGCTGATAAACCCGCGCACTTAGAATAGTGCTCGGGACAAAGTGACTGCTCTGAGTGCGGGTGTTATTATTTGTCGCTGCTGTCATTTTTGGCACGTAGCTGTTGTGTTATTAGAGTATCCTCAGATGCCGCAGTTTTTAAGCACTTACCCCATACCCNGCCCTGGGGACAGTTCCTTCCTTCCTTTCTCCCTCCCCCCCTTGTCTTACTCAGCTGCAAGGGTTTCCACCACGGGAGTTTTGTTGGTCTTCACCCTCCAGTTAAGGCTCTCCTTCGTAGGGGAGAGGTTGGCAGAGGTTGGCAGCGGCTACTCTTCCGCTGCCCCGGCCAGTAAGGACATGGAAGATGAATCTCCAGGTTCTCCACAAGCACTTGGCAGGTTTTGTTGAAGAAAAGCAAGTTGATGCGAACCCCTTCAGTGGGAGCTGCAGGGGCTTCACAGCAGCCATACCTGGTCTATGGGAGTCATTAGAAATTCTTAGCTGAGGAGTCGGAGCTCACAGCGTTCAGCGTTTTCCGCAGCAGTTAGCGAGCCCGTGGGCCCTGCTTCTCCCCGCAGGCCCTTGTTTTCCCCAGCAAGTCGGGTGGGTGGGCTGTTTCCCTGAGAACTCCATCCTCTCGTGGGTTCAAGAAGAGTCACCGATTTGAAGTCTGTCTCACATTTTGTTTGTAGAAAATGTGAGCAGAGTGCTCTTTGCAGCTCTCTACACCTCCAAGAAGAAAATGGAAACCTTGTTTTTTTCACATGATAACTCTTTGAGAACTGAAGTTGAACAGAAATCCACCTGAAGCCCCTAACTCCATGTTCTGGTGACGCACAAGGGCCCAGCCTCGAGCCTTCACTTAGCCTGAGTTACCTTCTGATGGGCCCTGTTACCAAATACAGTCACACTGGGGTTAGGAGTGCAAGATATGAAATATGGGGTACACGAAACACTCCAAAATGAGAAACCTTGCCACACAGAGATTCAGAATTGCCTCCGTTTCCTCACTGATAACGGGGAAATTGCAACGCTTGCTGCAGTGGGTAATTATGGTTAAATGAGCTGATAAACCCGCGCACTTAGAATAGTGCTCGGGACAAAGTGACTGCTCTGAGTGCGGGTGTTATTATTTGTCGCTGCTGTCATTTTTGGCACGTAGCTGTTGTGTTATTAGAGTATCCTCAGATGCCGCAGTTTTTAAGCACTTACCCCATACCCTTTGTGCAACTAAATTAAACAGAGCTTAAAGGACCTGGCTGAGCGGAACAAGAAGAGAAGGCGGCGGAGCCGTCGGTGCAGGGCTGTGGGGACACCTTCAAGATCCTGACAAGCGCCTCTCCCTCTCCTCTATGCTCCTGCCTGCGTTTCCACCCAAACACCAGCTGTTTCCTCCTCGGGGAGGCCTGGGTGTCTCCCCACCTCGCCCAATCTCTTTCTCATTGATTAGATTACCTTTCCTTTGGGGCGCTGGACCTGAACTGGCTCACGGACCCTGCGCTCGTTTGAGCCTGCCTTCTTGGGAAAGTAGGTGGGAATGGAAATTAAAAGTCCATCCTCATCTTTACCAACAAAAAAGGATCAGTGGCAAAGGCATTTAAGGAGAAGGTCGTATACTCCAGAGCCAAGGTTAAATAAAAATGTCTTTCTTTAAATTAAGACTCAAGTCCTTCACTCTGATTAATTAAAAGTACTTGCAGCCAGGGGGCAGGAGAAGAGAACTTTTCATTTATGTGGCTGCTTCAGGCAGATGGAATGTAACATGTCCCCTCAGAAAGAATTGCAGCAAAACAGTGAGTAAATTAAATCAAAACTGTAATTTGTGTATTAGTTGGCATAATAGATACATTCCTGCAAGTTACATCATTTTCATTTCCAGCTTTTTAATATATCTTTATTGATTTCAGAGAGAGGAAAGGAGAAGTAGAGAGAGAGAGAAACATCAATGATGAGAGAGTCATTGATCGAGCCCACAACCCGGGCATGTGCCCTGACCGGGAATCGAACCCAGATCGCCTGGATCCTAGGTCGATGCTCAACCCCTGAGCCACGCCCAGCCGGGCCATTTCCAGCTTTATGAATCAAAGAATTTCCCTTTGGTCCCAGTTTTTTTATTGGAAATGTCTTATTGTAGATTGATTGCAAATGAAGGCAGGTTTTTAAGAAATATGTTCCGAGTGTCTTGCCCCTTTCAGGAGTTCATGCACTTAAGTGCACTAGTAAGAGTTCCTTATGGAACTGAACCCAGAGTTGGGCAGCAAACCTTTTTCAAACTGAAGGATATTTTTGTAAAATAACTGCTTCTGTGTGAGTTACCTGTGTACCTAGTTCTCAACTGAATGGATTGTCAACTGCCTAAATTAATGAGGGGAGTGAGCGTCTGGATCTTGTAACAGTTGTGTTCAGTGTAAGTTATTCCTCGCGGCCTGCGTACTTTGATGGCACCATCTTAATTAAAGCTTTACAGCATCCAATGCTGTGAAAATAATAAATCTTTGACTACAGTGTTTGCATTATATCAAAATCGCAACAGCTGATCATAGTATCCCATGGAATGCAAGCAGGTTTTACCCGTGGGCAGCAGGGGGCAGTGTTTGCCCAGGTCAGTTCAAGGCGGGATAGAAAGAGGCCTAGTGTCTGATGCACCAACTCCTTTGACACACTTCATCTTGCCTGAAGGCCCCAGTCACCCTCTGGAGCACTGTTCCCATTTTCCCTATAAAAACAGACTCACAGAGTTGAGCAGTTTGCCCCAGATCACTCATCTAGACAGGAAACTCACTCTTCTTAATTCCACGACGTCCTCGTTCTAAAGGACTGTCCGTGAGGGACACACGGGCAAGGGAGCTGGTGCCTACAGTTCCCGTTCTTGGCCCAGGTTCACCGGGTCTGGGGGGTCACTCCCAAGTCGCCACTCAGCACCTTGCCTCTTCACTTAGCTTCGGGGGTACAGGGAACTCCAGGTTGAAAGCTGTAACAAGGCCAGGACTAACACTGGGGATACAAACATAGGAACATAACCTATAAACTACTGTGACTTACCTTTGGCAGTGGGACTCCATGCAGATCTGTCTTTGCTTACCCCTAGCCCTTTTTTTTCTTTTTAATTTTTAAAACCTTTTTCAATTACCATTGACATTCAATATTATACATATTAGTTCAAGGTATATAGCACAGTGGTTAGACATTTATATAACTTCCCATATGACTCCCTTGGTAAGTCTAGTACCCACCTGGCACCATCAGTTTATTCTGTACATTTATGGGTTTGTTTCTGTGTTTGTTTGTTTGTTTGTGTATTTTGTTATTGTTGTTGTTTTTTCNGAGAGAGAGACAGAAACATCAATGGTGAGAGAGTCATTGATCAGCTGCCTTCTGCACGCCCCCNGAAGGGAGAGGGAGAGAGAGAGACACAGAAACATCAATGATGAGAGAGTCATTGATCAGCTGCCTCCTGCACGCCCCTGACTGCGGATCAAGCCCGCAACCGAGGCATGTGCCCTGACCGGGAATCAAACCCCGATTGCCTGGATCCTAAGTCGATGCTCAACCGCTGAGCCACGCCCGGCCGGGCTGTGTATTTTGGTTTTAGATTTCACATACAAGTGAAATTATATGGTATTTGTCTTTCTCTGTCTAACTTATTTCCCTTAGCATAATACCTTTTAGTTCCACCCATGTTGTCACAAATGGTAAGATTTCACAATGGCTATCATCAATAAATCAACAAACAACAAATATTGGCGAGGATGTGGAGAAAAGAGAGCCCTCATGCACTGTTGATGGGATTGCAAACTGGTGCAGCCACTGTGGAACACAGTATGGAGGTTTCTTAAAAAATTAAAACGAACTACCATATGACCCAGTGATCCCACTTTTGGACNGGTGCAGCCACTGTGGAACACAGTATGGAGGTTTCTTAAAAAATTAAAACTAGAACTACCATATGACCCAGTGATCCCACTTTTGGATATTTACCTGAAGAAATACAAAACACCAATTTAAAAAAGATACATGCACCCCATGTTCATTGTGGCATTACTTATAGTAGCCAAGATAGGAAGCAGCCTAAGTGCCGTCAACAGACGGTTAGATGAAGAAAATGATAGTACATGTAGACAGTGGAATATTGCTTGGCTGTAAAAAAGAATGAAATCTCTGGACTTCTTCATGTGACCAAGAAAGTCTTTAACTCCTATAGTTAAAAAGACTTTTAGATGCTAAAATTTCCGACCAAGAGAGTGGACACCCACAGAAACTGGTTATTTCATATTCTGCCTATTAAAGACTTAGTTGTATCCAAAGTATTTAATGTGCTTAGTATGGTGTCTGCCACGTGGTGGATGCTTATGAGTATTAGTTATCATTCTCCTTGGTTTTCATTTTTGATCGTCAAGCTGTCCCACAGGGTGGACCCTGAGACACCATGCTTATGCTTGTGGCCTTATCAACACAAAGTGGATTCAATATTCACATAGGGACAGGTGTGCACAGTAGAAGTGCAGTTGCTTTATTATAGAGTTATTGTGCATTGAGGCTGGTGCCCAATATGTCTCTCTCTCCTAGTCTCCTGGCCTTTCACTAGAAAGGAGGGAGGAAGTGAAGTGAGAGCCCATGCCTAGATTTGTAAAGCTTGTGAGAACACAGCTGTTTAACAGTCTTCCTGGGGCATGGACAGCTTTCTAGGCTGCTGAGAGAACTTGGGGAAGAGACACTGAATGGCTGTGAGTCATGGAAAATTAAAGGAGCTTTAAATGATCCTTGGATTGTAAGTTCCATTTCATTCTCCATAAGTGTCTAACATAGATTTTTAAAAGATGGTTTGTGGACATCTGCTGAAGAGTTTCACAAAGAGCAAGCCAGCTCTACCCAAAGGAGGTGAGTGTGGCCCACCTCTTGTGAGGCAGGGAGGCGGACCTGCACCAGGGCCTGCTTCAGCTCCAACCAGGGGAAGCGGAGAGCCCGGCCGAAGCCCTGCACCTGGTCTGGGCAGGTTCCCATCATGGAAGTGATGGCCCTGGGGAGAGGCAGGTGGGCAGCAGAGTCAGAGTCCTGGTCTTTCCTTGCTCACTGCCTTCCCATGGCACCCTTGTTTGGGACTGGGCCTCTGTGCCTGCCCCTGCCTATCCAGGGGACAGCCCCATGCCACCCCTGACCCCTGTGAGGCTGTCCTGGGAGTAGCAGCCTGGTGATCCCGTAGGCTTAACATGAAGTCTGTATGAGGCTCTTCCTCCCACTGACAGTTCTGCTGAAGGCCCTGTACACTGCCCAGCCCAGCCCTCCGTGCCCTTGGGCATCTGGCTGAGGACTGAGCCAGGCTTGTGAGCAGCCTGCGCACCACAGTCCTGTTCTGAGCCTGGCCATGGCCGTCAGGAGAGAAGTACATGGAGAGAGGTAGGCAGAGGGGGACAGGACTGTGCTAGGTTTGGGACCTTGTCCCTCCCCAGTTTGGGGACAGTATACAGGATTGACACACTATATAAACCACTGACTTCCAAAAGGACACTCATGTTTCTTCTTTTTACATTAAAGGGTGTTTTGAGACCCTCGTTGTGGAGCTCCCACATTCCACAAAGGGGCAAAGGCCTGGAGAAAGGTGATCACCAGGCAGGAGTCTGAGCAGATGACTCGGGAAGGAGCCAATCATGTGGCAGGTGAAAAACTGCCAGGTGAGCCAAAGTCCCCGGGAGGCAATTTCCAATGAAAAACACTGTGATTGCCTGGACAACTTGTTATCGGATAGGTAGAAATTTCAGTGAGTGAGAAATTCCTGGGCCAGGCTGGGCGCAAGGCGGCGGCCATCAGCAGAAACTGCTGTTGGCAACATCTCTGCCACAGCCCTTTGCATTTGGAATCTGCCTGCAGATCTTAAAATTTTACCTGTGCGTATCCTCCCACCAGCAGGGGGCGACTATCTCCAGAACACGATACTATATATTGTGGTCTGAATTGTGTTCCCCAAATTCCATGACTTTGCAACCCTTGGAACTTCAGAACATGGCTGTATGTGAGCACATAGTTAAGGTTAAGTGGGTTCAGTGGGGTGGGCCTTAATCCAATAGGACCAGTATCCTTAGAAGAGGAGGGGGGACACATGGAAGCACAGAGGGGAGCCCATGTGACAGAGAGAGAAGGTGGCTGATGACAAGCCCAGGAGAGACCCCTCAGGGAAACAGCCCTGCTGATGTCCTCAGCCCTAACTTCTAGCCTCTTGAACTGTGAGAAAATGAATGCCTGCTGTTCACAGCACCCAGTGTGGCCCTGTGTCATGGCAGCCCGAGCACAGGGACACACTGAAGTGTTCCCGGCAGCACTGCTGACCTGCAGCTGAACTGCACTAGGGCGATGTCCACAGCGCTGAAAGGCTGCATCACTGTGACAAACGACCTCCGTCACTGGACCAGGTCTGCAAGGACAGTGGAGCTGACTGCTCCATGGGATACCCAGGGTGGGGAATTTAAACAACACAAACAGCAAAACGCAAATGTGCTCATGGTCTACTGTGAAGTGAAACAATTTTTTTCCCTCTCTAATATTCCTACAAGTATGTGAGGAGTGAATTCTTTTTTAAAAAAATATATCTTTATTGATTTCAGAGAGAGGAAAGGAGAGGGAGAGAGAGAGATAGAAACGTCAATGGTGAGAGAGTCATTGATCAGCTGCCCCCTGCACGGCCCCAACGGGATCGAGTCCGCAACCCGGGCATGTGCCCTGACCTGGAACTGAACCCCAGTTGCCTGGATCCTAGGTCAGCGCTCAACCGCTGAGCCACGCCTGGCCAGGCAGGAGTGAATTTTCACTCTCCCATGTAGCTGGTGGGAGGAGCAGAGGTCCAGATTCCTTTGTCATGGGACTGTGGTCACTCTGGTGGGAAAGCCCTGGAGATCCCCAGATGTGAGTCTGTATTCTTGGCCCTTCATGATCATCTTGGGGTCCTGGGTATGGAGACTGCCCTGGGCCAGCTCCCACCTCGGACCAGCCCTGGACAGGGTTGTCGGCCTGGTGCACCTGCACCCTGACCCGGTAGGTGGTGTAGTGGGGCCCGTGGACCAGCACCTCGATGATGTCATCCTCGGAGCTCTGCAAAGACAGAGTGGGCACTGAGCCAGGAGGCATCAGGAACCCTCCACCCCGCCTGCGGTTCTGTCCTATGAGAGACCTAGCAAACTAGTACGCTGTCAATTAGCACACGGTGAGGATGTCCCCAGCAGCCCTGCTGAGCTAGCAGCACGACAACCACGTCACGGTCCGACCANCCCTGGCAAACTAACACCGTCTGTTAGGACACAGTGAGGATGTTCCTGACAGCCCTGCTGCACTAGCAAGAACTGAATCCCGTCAAGGTCTAACAGCAGTGAAAGGCTGGGTCACTGAGGAAAACTCCCTCCTAATGGGATGTGAGGGCAGTGAGTGAGGCCACAGCTCCTGACCTGGCCTCCTACACTGGTTGGCCGTGCTCTCTGAGATGACAAGTGGCAGAGAAATCTATGCAGTGCCTGCATCCCTTTCCATTTGTTTAAATACACAGCATCTGTCAGTGTGATGATGTGTGAGGCTCAGAGACAGTCTCCAAGGACAGTCGTGCTGACTGCTCCCCAGGATCCCTGGGGCAGGCAGTTAAAAAATGAAAGGAGCAAACAGCAAGGACAGAAGAATATTTTCTCCACTACTCCAGGAAATACGTGAAGCCTGAATTTCTACCCTACCAGAGACGTGATCGGGAGGGCTGGAGGTACAGATGTCTTTGGGAGTGGGCCTGTGGAAACACTGACGCCCCGGATTTGAGCCTGGGTTCTGGTCCCACCCCAGCCACCTGGGGGCCCGGGGTGTGGGCCAGCTCTCACCTCAGACCGGCACTGGCGTTGGACGGTTTTCCTGGCCTGGCGCTCCTGCACCTGGTACCGGTTGGTGGCATAAGTGAACCCGTCGGCCAGCTCCTCTATGACACCCTCCTTGGAGCTCTGCAGAGACAAAGCCCGTTCCCAGGCCAGGGGCGTCAGAGGCCTCCCTGGGCACTGCCAGTGTGGGAGATGCCACCACAAATGCTACTCCCCAGATCAGGCACAGCATGCCATCTGCAAAGACCTTCAGGATGGGAGGGAACACGATGACCCCTGGAGGACTCCTGAGTAACAAGTGGGGAGAGGAGCTTGGTCCAGAGCTCTCAGCTTCCCTTCCTGTCAGCCATGACCTGGGCCATGAACATGACAGACCCTCCAGGCTTCTAACACCCAACAACCTGCTCCTGCTTAGGATGAGCACCACTTNCCTCGACACACACACACACATACCCAGGATGAGGGGTAAGATGTGTGGGGCCCCCCAGGTGGGATCCCAGTTGGGGCCTGGCCTGGATGGGCCTGCCCTGGGCTGCCCCTGGCTACCTGAGGGTGCCTCGGGCCAGAGGGCGAGGAGTGTCTGCTGTGGCCCTTGTGCCGATTTCTACAGCAACAGAAANTGGAGCCAGAGGGCGAAGGTTGTCCGTGGTGGCGCTTGTGCCAATTTCTACAGCAACAGAAACATCTCTCACTCTGGGCTTTTTTGTGCCCAGAGCCTCGGAAGCACGGGAAACAACAGAGAGACATCCTAGTCTCCTGACCGACTCCAGTCAAGTGAGTAGGAAAGGCGGTTGTCTCTAGAATGTGGCTACCTGGTTACCAGAGCTCTAAATACTATTGGGGACCTGTCACCAAGGAAGTGAGGTCACCCCTCAAGGTTCCGTGACCTGGGCCCCTTCCTCCAATCAGAGCCACCCAAAGGCCCCTCTGGGCTTCTGCCAGCTCACCCTCCTTGCCAGGTCCTGTCCACACCCGCACCCCAGCACCTACCCAGCCCTCCTGCAGCTCCCTGGGGATGGGCCAGGGCCCTGCTGGGAGGGGAAAGCCAAGCTCGCAGCCCCTTGCCCCCCAGTTCCTTGTCCTGGGGAAGCCTCTGTGCCTCTCAGGGACCCCCAGTCTCCCAACCCGCACAGTGAGGATGACACTGAACACCATTTCCCAAGGACACCATCAGGCGTGGATGACACAACGTCCCTCACACCTGTGGGCTGGCCTCCCATGAACCTGCTGCACAGTGTAGAGGTGGAAGAGGGACGAGAATGAGGGGACGTGGCAGGGAACCTCCTGCAAATCAGGCCTGGGTCCAGCGTGTGGTCTCGGGGAGTCACTGCCCATCTTGGTCTCACTTTCAAGTCCGCACCTTTAAGAGGCTGAAATGACAGGAAATTCAGACGTTGTCATTCACTGGCCTAAAACCTTCCAGTGGCCTCTTTTTTTTGTTAATCGTCAGCCAAGGATATTTTTCCATTGATTTTTTAGAGTGGAAGCAGGAGAGGGAGAGGGAAAGACAGAGAAAGAGAGAAACATCGATGTGAAAGAGACACATAGATCACTTGCCTCCCGCACCCACCCCGGACCAGGGTCTTGGGGAGCCGGGGATGAACCTGCAACCCAGGTATGTGCCCTGGACTGGGAATCGAACCCACAACCCTTTGGTCGTGGGCCGGCTCTCTAACCACTGAGCCACACTGGCCGGGGCCCAGTGGTCTCTTGTTAAGCTTAGAATCCGCCCGAGGGCCTCATGCGGGTCCACATGGTGGAGCCGTCACAGCGGTTTCCATGAGTCCAGCCCCAGGCGGGACCATCCTCGTGTATCTGCCGTGGGCTCAGGAACTGGCTTCTGAACCACGGAGAGCACAGCCCAGGGGACGGGATGTCAGGTCCTGTCACTTCTCTCGTCCTCTCGTCATTGAGCTCCCTTCCTTTCTCTCGGCCTCTATTTCACTTCCTCTCTGTATGTCTCTCTGTCTCTCTGTCTCTGTCTGTCATGTCTCTGGAACAGGGAGAGCAAGCGCCCATGGTTTGAGCTGCCCTATGTAGAGGCCCCTTGGGAGAGAATCGAGGGAGGGCCCAGGACAACAGGCAGGAACCCGGGCTCTCAGTCCAAACTGCACCCTGATGAACAGCAGGCGAGTGACCTTGGGAGGATACCTCTCCCCAGTCGAGCCTCAGTTGAACCCCATCTCCTGCCTGACGGAGACCTTGATGCTGAGGCGCCCAGAAGCCTAGTCCCCAGCAGTTGTGAGGTGCTAATATTTGTATTTTACAGGTGCAAGTCTTGAGAGCAGTGTTGCTTGTGCCTCAGTTTCCCCTTCCAGCACTGAGCAATAAAAACCCTACCCTCTCTGAGGTTATGGGGGGTGTTAAAGAATTAATGTTTGAAAAATGGTGGGAACACCTGGCATATCACAAGGGCGGTGTCTACATGTTAAAATCAGCTTCAGCATTCTTCCAGTGTCTAAGGGCCCGAGGGCGGGGATGAGCGCCTGGCCCAAGGTAGGAAGCCCTCCCAACATATGATGAACACATGAACGGGTGACACTTTGGAAGCCTTGCAAATGCTCCCTCCTGCCCTGGCCTCACATCGCCCATGTGAAGAGCTGGGTCAGACCACAGACCTGTGGAGGTTTGTTCATGGTTGAGGCCAGAACTTCTCAGGGTCCTGGGGATTTCTGGAGAAAGATGGGACCCCTGGGTGGGGGTGGAGGCAGTCATCAGAGTCAGGCAAGCCTTTGGGGGTAGGAGGAGCAGGAGCACTGAGCTGAGGACAGAACCTGCCCAGCCCTGGGCCTAGAAGCCGAGAAAGGGAGCAGACACTGCCCAGGAGGCTCCGATGAAGGAGGCTCTCAAGGTCCTCTTCACCCACTGCTTCTGATGCGTGGAAGGCTCTGAGCTATTTGATTGACCCCTTTTGACACTAGAAATTCAACGTTTGTTTAAAATTAGACCTGTGCCTAATCTTTAATCCAGTGAGCCTTGTTGCTGAGTGGGAGCTGCAGGGCTGTGTGTGGGGCCAGGACGAGGGCCTCACCTCCAGGGCGCAGCCCGAGCTCTGTTCTGCGCCCAGACCAGGATGGTTCTCTGCCTGCTGGGAGCCTGCTGCCCTAGGAGCAAACCTCAGGCTCGGCAAGGATTTAAAAAGCATTAAGATGGTCAGTTTTCTGTTTTGTGTATTTTACCACTGTTTTAAAGCTGATGACCTGGGGCTGCCCAGAAGCTGCAGTCACACTGACACCCAACTGGAAGGACCTGTTCTGGGCACCCCTGGGGGCTGGAGCCGGGGCAGCAAGATCTCACTAGTTCCCTTTGAGGGCGTGGGAACTTCCCTGGGTGGCTCCAGGGGCCTGAGGCAGCTGCCCTGAGCCTGGGTCTGCCTCTGTGGACAGGGCAGAGCGTGGAAGTCCATGAAGGCCCTGGTCAGGGAGGGTTGTTTTGGGCATTGAAGTGTGACCTGGAGGAAGCCCAAAGCCAAGAATCAGAGGTGGCCCCAGCTCTCAGGAGAATGTGTAGTACTCCACTGTGTAAATGTCCTACAGCTATTTTTTTACTTTACTTTTATTTTCGACACTATTACAGATGTCCCCATTTTCCCCGCTTTACCTGCCTCAACCATCCCCCACCCCCCCTTCACTCTGACCATCACCACACTGTCGTTTGGGTTATACATATTCTATGGGTTACACAAATGTTTTCTTTGGTTAATAGGTTATACATATATGTTCTTTGGCTAATGGGCTATACATGTATGTTCTTTGGCTAATCCCTCACCTTCTTTCATCCATCCCCACTCACCCCCTGCCCCTCTGGCAGCTGTGAATCTATTCCAGTATCCATCTTTGTTCATCAGTTTATTTTGTTCATTAGAGTCCACTCATTGGTGAGATCATACAGTATTTGTCTTTCTCTGACTGGCTTGTATCGCTTAGTATTCCATGGTGTAAATGTCCCAAAGCTTTTTATCCACTCACCTACTGACGAGCATTTGGGCTGTTTCCAGATCTTGGCTATTGTAAATAACACTGTGAGCATAAGGGGTGCATGTGTTCTTTCCGATTAGTGTTTTGGGATTCTTAGGATATATTCCCAGAAGTGGGATCACTGGGTCAAAACCTTTGTCCATTTTTTAACCGGGTTGTCTTTTTGGTGTTGAGTTGTATAAGTTCTTATAAATTTTGGATATTAATCCTTTATCAGATCTATCGGCAAATACGTTCTTTCATTCAGTGTGTTGCCTTTTCATTTTTTTTATGATTTCCTTAGCTGTGCAAAAATTTTTTAGCTTGGTTTAGTCCCATTTGTTTATTTTTTCTTTTGTTTCCCTTGCCCAGGGATATTTATCAGAAAAAGTATTGCTATGAGAAATGTCTGAGATTTTTCTGCCTATATTTTCTTCTAGGATTTTTATGGTTTCAAGTCTAACATTTTAAGTCTTTAATCCATTTTGAATTTATTGTTGTGTATGGTGTAAGAAGGTGATCTAGTTTCATTTTTTTGCATATATGTGTCCAATTTTCCCACTATCATTTATTGAATAGACTATCTTTAACCCATTGTATGTTTTTGCCTCCTTTGTCAAATATTGACTATAAAGGTGTGGGTTTATTTCTGGGCTCTCTATTCTGTTTCATTGATCTATATGTCTGTTTTTATGCCAGTAACAGGCTATTTTTATTACTATGGCCTTGTAGTGTAGCTTGATATTAGGTAGCATAATTACTCCAATTTTGTTCTTTGTTTCTCAAGACTGCTGTTGTTTTTCTGAGTCTTTTTTGATTCCATATACATTTTGGAATATGTGCTCTAGTTCTGTGAAATGCACCATTGGTATCTTGGTAGGAATTCCATGGACCCTATAGATGGCTTTGGGCAGATGGACATGTATATGGTCCATGAACATGGTATGTGCTCCCGCTTGTTTGTTTTTCCTTCAGCGTCTTGTAGAACCTGCTCCTCTTTCATGTAACGAGAACTNTAATGAGAACCTTTGCTCTTAAATGAGCACTAGTGTGGTTATTGTTCCCCCTCTTTTGATAAGTTTGTCTATTTCTACACACCTTGTGTTCTACCTATAGGGGATTCTCAAGTGTCTGATTGTTTTGTTACTCCTAACTAACGTCCCCCAT